ACATCAGAAATACTGATCAAACATGTTTTTTTTTTCAGTGTTTTTTCTTGCATATCCCTTTCATTTGTACTTACAGTACCCTCATGTAGTATTGTATTTTACATATCACTTACATACATCACTGTATAGCTGTTATGCATTACTATACAATCACTGTTATGCATTTTGTTTTCCATTGTTACAGGTTACAGTACAATCCAATCATGTGTTTTCTAGTCATTTTCCTAATCTGGTCATTTCTGCAACAAAGTGTTATAGCTGATCACAGAGCTCTATACAATAGCCATATTTGTGCAGTGTTATGCTAGCAGACAGTTTATTCACAATGTGTATTCTGAATCAAATGTAATGTTAGTGTGTTTGTGTGTGTGTGTATGATGGGATCCCAATGAATGTGGTATGATAGTGACCCTTTTTACATTGTATTTGACTCTGTTTGCATATTAATGGATTAACAACAAACATTTGGGTTGACTACACCTTGGAATACTAGTTTATATACCATGATGCAATTTCTTTTGTAACCTGGCAATGTTTCATTTATTACTGCCTTGCATATACTATTTAGTCATTTGTCGTTTCATGCATTTTCATTTCTGAATCAATTGTATTTCAAATTGTAAGGATTTCTGGTCTGATGCTACAACTTTGCATAAAAATATTTTCCACATATTTTTTTTCTGTTCGGCGGGGATGTACTGTACGACAGTCTCTTTCTATCAGACTAGATTTCCGGATATTGAATGTTTGACCGGATAGGTTTTCTCTTTTATGTTAGTAATAGTTTCCGGATAAAATGGAAGAAGCGTGGTATTTCATGATCTAAAGATTTACGTTCTTTGGTCCTTTAACGGCCACAAAATCATCATCATATCCGCGCCATCGCAAATCCGGAACAAGTTAAAAGAATTGTATTAGCTAAAAGACCTTAAATAATTTTGATTTTTTCTTATTTTTTCAAAATTCACTAGCATGCATGTACGGTACTTGTATATATATATGTTTGCTTAACATTGCAGGAACTGTTTGTTCATATAATGGACGGGAAGAACAGAGCCTTGAAGAGTGCCTTCCATACGGACAGTGGACCTAGTTGGTGTCTGAAAACCTAACCAGCCATAGTGATAATGATTAGGAATGGATGTCAAAAATATGTGACATGTTCCGGGTTAACGTGACTTTCCTTCGACAAACCATGGGAAAATCTGGTATTGAAGCAACAGAGAACCCAAAAAATTTTACTCTTGGACATTTGGAAAAGCTAAAAACGAACTAAAAACATGTACCACTACAGATATTTGCAAAGGCCAGAGGGAAAGGTAATATTTGGTGTGTATCCCAAGATCAATATCCATGCAAGTTTGGTTTAAGGTCAAGATCTAGTAAATGAAAGGAGCCTACAGATTTCTCAAATTTGAGAAACAAATTCCTTTAATGATGCTTTATAACTATAGCTTAGACAAATAAGGTGTATCGGGGCATAATTTGTAGATAAACAAGACGAAAAATCATATTTTAAACTGTCATTTTCATTGAAAAATTAAGAAAACTAATCATGAATATGGGAGTTTTTTTTTCATATCAGACAAATGAAAGGTATCCAGATAGCCTACAGTCTCTCAGAAAACGGTAATTTGTGTGTTCTTAGCCTCTTCTTTAAAATAAAATCAAATTGAATATAGGTATCGGGATTAATTTTCACATGATTTTAAACTGAATTCCATGAACGTAATTTATTTTCTACACAATTCTATTAGAGCCGTAAAGTACGGGAAAAATAAAGTTTAAATTGATTATGACGTCATAATGGATCTAGCACCAAAAAGGCAGTCTAAAATTATTTACTAGATCTTGACCTTAAGTAACTTATAGGTACTCTGAAATAGACCTTATTAAAAAAAAACAAATTTTTAACCTATTTACTAATGAAGAAAATTTTGGCCAGTTCCAACATCCAAAGCAAGTCTTGAAGTTTTCGACCTTAGATACACCATCTATGCAATATTTATCATAACAGGCCATAATATTATATAGCACTAAAAAAAAAACCCTTGTCACTCATCTGGAAAATGTAGGCAAGATTCAGAATCCAAAGCAAGTCTGGAAGTGTCCATGCCTAGTATACATCATCCATGCTTATGTGGTTAAAATATGGCAAAAATTCACTCATGTGGAAAATCTAGGTCAGATCCAGCATCCGAAGCAAATGTGGTAGTGTCCATCCCTAGATGCATCATCCATGCAAGTTTGGTCCACTTAGGGCTCATAGTTACTTCCTCTGATGTCTAAGTTTTTGCTTTGCTTCTATTTGGTAATGTTTAATTTGAGGTCGAATACTGTTTGTTATCTTCACATATTTCATGAATGGAAGCTGAATGTCGCCTTAACCCAAAGTACTCATAAGAAAAACTAGTATTATTCAGAGCTTGATCAAACAATTTTTTTTCTTTTGCAAATACAAAGAAAATGTCACTAGTGATTTTTAATTCCAAGGATAAAAGGTAAATAAGTACTTTGCTGTCATTTCATACTTATAAAATAAACCATTTCAAATAATAAAATATTAATGGCGCTTCAATCACTTCAGAACTCAATTCTTTACACACGGTAGCAATGTTGTTTACATTATAAATACACAGCAGACGGTAACTTTTGCTACGTAATTGTGTCATGTGACAGACACGAGGACATGCTATAAATATAAACTAATTTAGTTAACATTGACGACATGGTTTAAAGCCACAGCGTCGAAGACGTCGTGTGAAAATTTAAGGTGACTGACTGTGCCGGAACTCAATCCGGAATTTATTCGTAATAGTTCTAATTTTACTCCCGCTTTCATATTTCCCGCGTGGAGATCAGCAAGTTGTTTACCGATAAAATTTGGCTGTTTTGTTTCTATCAGACGACAGTGTAAGTTTGCAAACATGTTTTGATAATTAATTTGATGATGTGTAACAGATTTAAAGCCATTCTTGTTATGTGCCGCTTCATAAATGCAAATTTGAGCTGTTATGTACTGAGGGCTGATTTTATCAATGTATGATGCGCATTTTCTGTCACATGAATTAAGTGATAACTTTCATGTTGGTTATGTGCGAGAATAATTGGCTGTTGTAAATTTTTTGTATCTTTTTATGTAGTTATAGATAATTTCTACATGTTATTTTGGTTTTCATTTGCAGTTTTTCACCTGATTGAATAAAGGAATCTTTACACTCTTTTGTTCATCATGATAGCTGTATACAAACCTACCTAGAGGCAGCACAGTGAAAAAACTAAGACATTTATCTCACAACGCACTGTTACATGCTACTTCTACGATGTACACAGATGGTTACGACGATATAGTAGATAGAGATGATAGACCAGTCAGAATGGCATCAAAATCAGAGAAAGGGTCAAGAGTACTACAAAGAACAGAAAGAAATGTTTGAAAAAAGATTGAAATCATCTGGTTTTATGCTCAGTAACACTACAGAAACCTATGATCAAACTCTACCGAAATCAATAACTGGACTAGAAATGGCACAAGCAGACCTACACACAGCATACAAGAGATACGACAAAGATGCGAACAGTTATTTAGACTTTCTCGCGAGATCACGTGAAACAGAAGCTCAAGAGGACATCAATGCATACTGGGAAATCGTGAATGACCTTAAAAAGAAATACAACTTTCTAATGGACAAAATCACACTTCAACGACACTCTGTTGAGACAAGATCTATGACAAAATCACATAAAAGGGATTATTCTTCTAAAAGTCAGAAGTCAAATGCTTCAGAAGCTGCACTTAAAAGAGCAAAAGCCGAGGCTGAAAAAGTGAAACTCAAATTCGAAGAACAAGAAGCTACACTAAAAAAAAGAACAGTTTGACAAAACGTTACAGATAGAATTGCTTCGACAACGTAAGACTGCCGTAGCAACGGACGCCGAAGCCACATACCTCGAAAAACAATCAACCGCCGATGACAAGAAAGCAGCCAAGTTACCCGAGGAGGAATTGAGTTCCTTTGGAGAAAACTTTGCAATTTTTAGATAAAATAAACACAGGTACCAATGATGCCCAGCCTCCGCATACAACTGACGTCCCACAAGACAAGCCTCTTTCACCTGATTGGGAACCTTTTGTGCCAAAATCAACTTTGCACGCGGTCTCCTCGACTCCTAAAGTGCCTTCACATATTGTACAGAAACGGCACAGTGACGGAACGGGTGTCCAGAGAACATTTGACGATGAAGCTCCAGTCTTGAATCATTTATCGCCAGGAAACTTTGTCATGAAGAAAAACCTACTCTTAGAAACCTTTCAGCAACAAAAGTTTGATGATAAGCCAGACTGTTACATTGTTTGGAAGAAACAATTTAAAGTCATCACCTCAGACATCGGTTGCACACCTTTAGAGGAGTTAACCTTGATAACCAACTGTGTGCAGACAGGATCCGAAGCTCTCCGTCTGATAATGAGCTCGGGAGCAGCATGTGCGGATGATCCACTACAGTGTTTGTCAAATATTTGGGAACGCTTGGATCAACGTTTTGGTAGTGCCGAGTTACTAGAGTCAACGTTGAAAACAGAACTGTTCAACTTGCCGAACATGATCGACCGTAAAGATCTTTATGAACTCCATGACATTCTGTGTGAGATTCAAGCTGTGAAAGCAACCGTTGAGTACTCCTCAATATTCTCCTACTTGGATTCCTCTTTAGGTATCAAGCCCATTGTCGAGAAACTACCAAAAGGTATCCAGGACAAATGGATCAACAGAGTCGTTAGCTGCAAAAAGGACCGTAAAATTATTTTCCTTCCCTTCACAGAGTTTGTAAAGTTTATAGGCACCATTCGAAACGACCAAGGTCTGATATATGAAACTGCTCCCAACTTGAATCGAGGTCGAAAGCCTAGCACAGGCAAACCACCAAATGTGACGAACAATCATAATCCGAGAGGCCAGCATATCATCTCTACACACAGAACTTAAATCAGCCCTGGCAGCATGAACGATACCAAACGCACATGTCTGATTCACAAAGGCTCTAGACACACCATCAATCAATGTAAAGCGTTTAAACACAAGAACTTACAAGAGCGGAAGAAGATATTACGTGATCATAATTTCTGTTTACGGTGTTGTGATACGTCAGATCATTTTGCAAAAAACTGTCATGCAAAGATTGAATGTGACTTATGCAAATCAACCACACACAGCTCAGCTCTTCACGTTGAAAACCATAACTACCAAAATGAGGATGCTAACAATTCCGAGAGAAAGCATGGCGAGGAGGTTGTCAGGGCGCGATGTACAGACATCTGTGGAGTACCTAATTTCACAGGTAAATCTTGTGCAAGGATTGTCCCAGTACGTATATATCCTCACAATCAACCAGAGAATGCAGTCCTTTCCTATGCGATGCTTGATGATCAGAGCAACCGTACTCTAGGAAAAAGCTCGTTGTTCGATCACTTCTCTATTAACTTTTTACCGACGGAATATACCATGGAATCATGCGCAGGAAAGTTGACAACTACTGGAAGAATCGTCGTAGGTTTGATAGTTGAAGGCATTTATGACAAAGTTCAACTACAGTTACCTCCTGTTTTGGAATGTGAGAACATTCCTGACAATCATGAAGAAATTCCAACGCCCGACATTATCCTCACATGCATGATTATCTACTTCCATACGACAAATCTATGCATATCATGTTATTATTAGGTCGTGACTTACCTGAAGCTCACCACGTCATCGAACAGAGGATAGGCCCACCACGATCACCCTTTGCACAAAGATCGCCGTTAGGGTGGACTATCATCGGAAAAGTGTGCTTATCAGGTCAACACCGTCCGTCATCAGTTGCTACATATAGAACTTGTATCACTAGGAATGGTAGACCAACAGGCTTAGAACCATGTGAACAGGTGGTTTGCATTAGAAAAGCCTCAGTGTTTAAAAAAAAAAAACACAACCCCACACAAACAACGTTGAATGTGTTCGAAACCACTACTCGGGACAACAAACCAGGACTTTCTATTGAAGATCGTCAGTTTTCGAATATCATGGACAGTGAATTCCAAATAAGCGAGGAAGGAAAATGGATTGCACCATTACCATTCCGTGAGCCACATGATCACATGCCAGACAATTACAAACTTGCTTTGCATCGTGCCAAGTCGTTAGATGCATCACTGCATAAAAATAAAACCAAGAAACAACATTTTCTGGACTTCATGCAGAAATTATTTGACAATAACCACATTGAGATAGCACGTTATCTTCCGCCAGAAAGAGAGCGTTGGTACCTCCCACTCTTCGGGGTCTACCACCCTCGTAAGCCTGAGCAGATTCGTGGAGTGTTTGACTCCTCAGCCAAACATATGAATGTCTCGTTAAACGACCAGCTTCTCCAAGGTCCAGACCTTATCAACAACCTTTTAGGTGTACTCATTCGATTCAGGAAGGAAATGGTCGACGTAGTCGCAGATGTTCAACAAATGTTTCATTCATTTCTAGTACGAGAAGATCACCGCGACTTCCGGAGATTTCTCTGGCACGAAGACAATTTGATAGAAAATCCCCTTGTCACTTACCGTATGCGTGCACACGTTTTTGGCAACAAGTCTTCACCATCTATTGCTATGTATGGGTTACGGAGAATTGGCGACTTGGCTGCCAAAACCCATGGTGACGACATCAAAGAGTTTATCAAAAATGACTTTTATGTTGATGACGGGCTCAGGTCTTGTCCTTCAAGCCAAGAAGCTATTAACTTGATCAGCAAAACCCAAGATGCCATGAAAATGCATGGAGGCCTACGTCTACATAAGTTCGCTTCCAACAGCAAAGCTGTAATGGACGCTTTCGAACCTGGAGATCTAGCTAAAGGTATCGTCGATATGGATTTTGAAAAGGACACACCCACCCAACGAAGCTTGGGCTTGCTATGGGATCTAGGATCGGACTTTTTTAAGTTTAGCATCTCAACCGAAACTAAAACTACAACACGTAGAGGGATCCTTTCTGTGATCAATAGTCTGTATGATCCTTTGGGATTTATCTCCCCGGTCACTTTGAACGGCAAACTAATTCTCCGAAAGATCGTAGCTTCCACATGCGATTGGGACGATCCTTTACCTGATGATTTGCTCACCGAATGGAACGCTTGGAGTCGTACACTATCCAAACAAGAGGATTTGCGTCTGCCTCGTGTCATTGTACCAAATCTCACTGCCTCGTGTCATTGTACCAAATCTCAGAACAGCTGTTTCCAAGGAACTAAGAATCTATTGCGATGCTTCTGAACGTGCCATCGCTGCTGTATGCTTTCTGCATGTAACATACCCGGATAGTTCATGTTCTACTGGATTCGTATTAGGGAAAGCCAAGCCCGCTTCATCAAGTTGTACTACCATTCCTAGAATAGAACTTTGCTCTGCAGTGTTAGCAGTAGAAATATCACAGAATGTAGTCGACCATTTCCAGACTAACTTACACAACATTCAGTTCTTCAGTGACAGCAAAGTTACCTTGGGTTATATCCACAACAACACTAAGAGATTTTATGTATATGTTGCCAATCGCGTTGCTAAGATCCGCAGCTATACGGAACCTTCTCAATGGAAATACATTCGTTCAGAGATGAATCCAGCAGATATTGGAACCAGGGGGATTCAGCCTAGCAATCTTCAAGCAAGTGCTTGGTTACTCGGTCCAGCAGATGATGGCGATTTACATCGTTCTCCAAATACGTTCGATTATAACCTAGTGCAACCAGAAGATGTGGAGATTCGTTCTCACAAAACTGAAGTTAAAGAATTTGTACCAAGTGAAGGTCTTGGTTCAAAAGTGTTTGAGAAATTTTTTGATTGGAATAGACTGATTACTGTGTTGGCCGCATTTCGTCGAAAGATTCAGCATTACATCAGTTTGAAACGTCAAAATAGTTCAAGATGTATGAGTGCTGTTGAATTGCTACTTAAAACGGAACATCATGTCATCAGAGAAGTCCAGTCAGTAACGTACTCGGATGAGATACGCTTGCTCAAGAACTCAAAACCTTTGAATAGGTGTAGCCTTATCGCGAGCCTTGATCCATTCATTGATGACCAGGGTCTTCTCAGAGTTGGCGAACGATTAACAAATCTGGGTTCCGACCTCTCCCTCAAAGCTCCTATCATCTTACCTGCCAAGCATCATATCACTTTGCTCATTGCTCGTAAATGCACGAAGAGATTCGTCATCAGGGCAGACATCTCACAGAAGGCCATATTCGTTCTGCTGGGTTTTGGATCGTAGGCTCCAAAAGACTCGTTTCTTCCATCATCCACAAATGTGTCATTTGTAGAAAGCTACGAAAATCAACCGAAACACAAAAGATGTCGAGCTTACCTGTCGATCGTGTAACTCCCGGGCAGCCACCATTTACGTCCGTCGGCGTTGATATGTTTGGTAGTTGTTACTAGAAGAACTCGGGGAGGCTCTGCGAACAGCAAACGTTTGGGGCGCTCTCTTCATCTGCCTTGTGACAAGGGCAGTGCATATTGAAGCAGTGGAAGAAATGTCCACCTCCTCGTTCATAAACGCTATGCGACGCTTTATAGCAATTCGTGGGAATGTACTTTTTTCCGCTCTGATAGAGGAACTAACTTTGTAGGGACAGCAAATGAGTTGAAGATTAATGTTGTCAATGTAGAAGATGGTCCAATTCATGATTTCTTACTTCAGCATCGTATTTCTTGGATCTTCAACCCCTCACATTCCTCACACATGGGAGGAGTGTGGGAAAGGATGATTGCTGCGACCCGCCGTATATTAGAAGCTATGCTCCTACAACACAAATCCTGTCTTACTCACGAGGTGCTCTCAACATTCCTTGCTGAAGTTAGTCATATCATTAACTCAAGGCCATTAGTCTCCGTGTCAACAGACCCCAACAATCCAATGATCCTCACTCCGTCAACTCTACTTGCACAAAAACTCGGATTTGAAAATCGTATTTTATTGGATGTCGACAAATTCGATCGCAATGACTTGCTTCGTAAGCATTGGAAAAGAGCCCAGAATCTTGCCGCCATATTTTTGAAGCCTTACAAGGTTGAATATCTAAATACCCTACAAGACAGCCGAAAATGGACTGGGACCGAAAAAAAACGTTTGTGTTGGTGATATTGTGTTATTGAAAGATTCAGAATTACCACGCAATTGTTGGCCTATGGGAATTGTTACCAATGTCATCCCAAGTTCCGACGACCTTGTGCGTATAATTCAAATCAGAATTTCTATAGATTGATTGATTATTGTTGTTTTACGCCGAGTCGGCAATATTTCAGCCATATTTCGGCGGTATGAATTTAAATATTGTATAAACGGTTTTGAAAGTTTTTTGGTTTCTCTGGCGGCCCCCAATGAGCCTACTCTTTTTCGAAAACCAGAGAAACGATCTTTAGCGTGCCAAGGGGATTGTAATCCTTGACACGGGGCACCGTTTTACGTCCCATTCGACGGACTTTAAATTTAAAAATATAAACAGTTAAATTGAAAATTACAAATATGCCAATAAAAATATATACATTTATATCTTATTGTAAAAATCAGTTTCTTGCAAGTATTGTAAAATTGTACTAGGACTTACATTTGTAAAAAGATCATGCATTGTTTGAACACCATTAAAAAGTTTATTTCGAACAGGCGTAAAATCAGAACATTCTAACAGTATATGGTTTATAGTTATTGCACAGTCACAAGATATGCATTCAGGTTGATGTTCCCCGCTCAGTAAATATGAATGGGTAAACCTTGAATGCCCAATTCTTATTCTTGAAATAATGACTTCGTCCTGACGTTTCAGGCCAAAGTCAGATGATTGATCAACTTTGTTTTGTATGGTATACAGTTTATTATTATCACAAAAATCCCAAAATATTTGCCAAAGAGAATTTATGTAAAGTTTCACTAAGTACTTAAGATCAGTGTAAGGAATTTTAAAAGGTACAATTTCATATTGAAGAGCAGCTTTTGCAGAACTATCAGCCTTGTTATTACCCGGAATACCAATATGACTCGGAATCCAACAAAATTCGATATTTTTACCTTGTTTAGTGAGATGATAAAACTTATTTAATATATCCAAAATGTATGGATGATCAGTGTTCATATTGTGTATGGACTGTAAACATGAAAGCGAGTCTGAAAATATTGTAAAAGAATTTTCACTAGAAGTTTTTATATATTCAAAAGCTAGTTGTAAAGCTTTTGCTTCAGCTGTAAAAATCGTTGCTTCGTTTGGAAGTCGTATAGAAAAAACATTATTATTGACCACTGCAGCAGCAGCAACCCAGCCTCTGTCCTTTGAACCATCTGTGTAAATTTGTATTGTAGGATGTGTAGATTGTTTTATTTCGGCTAATTTTTGTTGAAAAACAAGAGGATTTGTTTCTGATTTCTTTAGTTCGGATAGGGATTTATTAACTACTGGTTTAATTAATTTCCATGGTGGTATTTCAGAAAGAGTTGTAGTTTTCACTATATCTAATGGTAGTTCAGAATCTCTAATATGATTTTTAAATCGTAAACAAATTGGCTTTATGCATTTCTTGTTTTTATCATATAAATGTGCATTTTGTGGATAAAAAACGCAGCCATAAGCAGGATTGTCAGTGTTTGCCTTTAATTTAATTATGTATTGTAAAGCAAGTTTAATTCTTCTTAAGTCCAGAGGTGGCTCATTTGCTTCTACATATAAACTATCTTTCGTCGGAGTTCTAAAAGCCCCCAAGCACAATCTAAGACCTTGATGATGGATTGCGTCAAGACCCTTTATATAGGAAGTCCTAGCTGATCCATATACAATACATCCATAGTCCAATTTAGATCTGACAAGAGAGCGATAAAGTTTAAGTAGAGTGCTTTTATCAGCTCCCCATTTTGTGTTTGCTATAACTTTAATAATATCTAGTGTTTTGAGCATTTCTCTTTTAGCATCTTTATGTGTGGAATAAAGGAAAGTTTATTGTCAAAGATGACACCTAAAAACTTAATTTCTTTAACTACTTTAATTGGATTCCCGTTTAATTGCAAACGTGGACCATCATGGGTTTTCCGTTTTAAACAAAGATGTACACAAGGGGTTTTACCCTGAGAAAATTTGAAACCATTACTATCGGCCCAATTTTGAATTTTGTTTAAACACGATTGTAACCGCCGCTCAATGAAATTCATATTTTTAGACTTAAAACAGAACAAAGTCATCAACATATAAGCTACCATGCATATCATTTTTAAGTACTTTAGCTAAACTATTTTTATACTGAATAAAGTGACTGAAAGGATACTTCCTTGTGGTACACCCATTTCTTGTTCAAAATTTTCTGAAACTGTAGATCCTAATCGCACTTTAAAAGTTCTATCATTTAAAAAGTCCTTCATAAAATTAGGTAAATTTCCTTTTCGACCAATATCATAAAGATCTTTTAAAATACTGTATTTCCATGTAGTATCGTATGCCTTTTCTAAGTCAAAAAATATAGATACAGCATGCTCTTTTTTAACAAAAGCATCTCGAATATAGGATTCCAGTCTTACTAGCTGGTCAGTTGTACTTCGGTTTTTTCTAAAACCACATTGTATATTTGTAAGAATGTTATTGGTTTCAAGAAACCATATTAAGCGTTCATTGATCATCCGTTCCATGGTTTTGCATAAACAGCTTGTTAACGCAATTGGTCGATAATTGTTAAGGTCTGCATGGTCCTTTCCAGGTTTTGGAATAGGAATTATTGTGGCTTGAGTCCAGGAAGGTGGGAAAAGACCTCCTTCCCAGATTGTATTAGAAATTTGCAGAAGACATTCTTTACTCTCTCTAGGAAGATGTTTAATTAATTGATAATGGATTTGATCCGGTCCCACGGCTGTATCGTGAGATTTATCTAAAGATTTTTGTAACTCTTCAAAAGTAAATGGTTCATTATAACATTCTTTGTTTTCAGATGTAAAATCTAATGTTTCTTTTTCTTGTGTATTTTTATATGTTAAAAAATTAGAACTCATGTTATTTGTCGAGGAGTTATTGGAAATTGTATTGGCTATTTCATTAGATATTTCCTTCTTATCAGTAATAATTTGATTTCTAACGCTAAGATGTTGATATTTCTCATGACCTTTTGCTTTTATTTTTCTTATTGCGTTCCAAACCTTATTAATAGGGGTATGTGAATTAAGACTGGAAACAAACTTTTTCCAAGATTTTCGTTTGCTAAAATTGATGGTTCTGCGAGCTTTTGCTCTAAATACACGGAAGTTGCTTAAATTGGTTGATGTAGGTAATCTATTAAATAATCGTTCTGCTTTTTTGCGAGCTTTTATCGCTTCGTTGCATTCTTCTGTAAACCATGGTTTTTTAGGTCTAGTAGAATTTGTCGAGATTTTAGGTATGCATTCATTTGCGGAATTTAATAGTATTTCAGTAAATTTTTGAATAGGATCAGGATGGTTTTCAAACTCTTCAGCCGAAATATTTTTTAAGCATAAGTATTCAAATTTAGTCCAATCAGCCTTGTTAAATTTCCAGTTTTGAACGTGGTTATTTTCAGAGGATTTGGGTACTTTAAGAATGATTGGGAAATGATTGCTCCCACATAAATCATCATGCACTGACCAACTTAAATCTAGAAGTAAGGAGGGATCTACTAAACTTATATCTATTGCAGAATATGAACCATTACCCGGATGCAAGTAGGTATTTGAGCCGTCATTAAGTATACAAAGATTATGATGAGATACTGCGTCTTCAATTTTTTTTTCTTTATCTGTTAATTTATCGCTACCCCATAGCGGATTATGGGCGTTAAAGTCACCCACAATCAGAAATGGAGCAGGGAGTTGTTCTATTAATTTTGTGAGTTCTAAAGGTTGTAATTGATAGTTTGGGGGTATATATACAGAACAAAGTGTAATTGTTTTATGGAGGGAAACACGTACGGCAACTGCCTGAAGATTTGTTTTCAAATTAATTTGGCTGTGAATATATTTATTGTTGATTGCTATAGAAGTACTGCCTGATGCTCTATCAGTCTGAGCATAATGGTTATACATACTATAGTTTTTAATATTGATCTTATCTGTTTCTTTCAAATGTGTCTCTTGTAAACATAAAGCTACCGTTAATAATATAACGATAATTCGTTAAAGTTAACTGTTAACTCTGAAACCTCGACAATTCCATTGTATAAATATAGGATGATTCATATTTATTTTTTGTTGTAGGAAATGGGAGATATCCTCCCTTTATTTTTATTGGGTGACACACTTCCGACCTGTGAGGAAGAATGACAAGGAGTAACATCCATTTCCTCTAGGGCTCCAAATTTATTGTGAAGAGCGACGAGGTCGGTTGCACCTTTTGGCAACCGATCTCTCGACTGCTTCTGATTGTTTTTTGAGGGAGATTTATTTTGTCTCCCGGATGATTTTGATTTACCTGCAGCTTCAGACTTTGATGCAGTCGTAGCTACAGGTTTTGGTGCAGCCACAGCTGCATGGCCTGCAGAAGCAGGTGATGAAGTAGATTTACCATTGTCAGATGACAAAGGTGCTACATGATCAGCTAATAAGGTCTGCTGGAGAAAATCTTTCTCAGAGACCTGAGTAGATACTTCCTTCAAAGAGGATGATTTTACAACAGTTGCGTATGTTAAATGTGGTTTAGGAACGCTGTACATGTTTACTAATTTTTTAGCCTCCGGATATGGTATTCTTTTTTCTGTTTTAACTTTCTGTATTTCTTTTTCTTTTTTCCATATCGGGCATTGTTTTGAAGACACCATGTGATCTCCCTTGCAGTTTTTGCATTTTGGCTTATTTTGACAGGTTTTGCCGTCATGCCCCTCTTCACCACACCTGAAGCATGCTTCAGATCCTTTACAATTCATTTGCCCATGTCCAAATCGTTGACATTTAAAACATCGCAAAGGATTGGGCACAAAAGTTTCAATTCTCATTTGATACAACCCAACTTTAATGTTTGTTGGGAGAGTTGGCATACAAAAGGTTAAGTGTTTGTTGGTTCAACAACATCATTACGCTTTTTCGTGAATCGTTTTACAGAGATCACTCCCTGGGATTCCAATTCATGTTGGATTTCCTGTTCAGGAATGCCATCCAGGTCGTGA